TCTTCAATGGGTAAAAAAAAAAGCATTAATGAGGGAATGATTTAAGGTGTCTGACAGAAATAATGATGGTGGACCATGTTGCCACGTGGAAAACTTGTCATGATGTTGATTTTACCAAAGAATCTTGTGCAAGTACGAGTGGGAAATGCAAACACATTTATTTTTGCAACAGCTGTAGAGTTACAGAAGATAATAAATTATGGTTGCTGAGAAAGGGTAAAGAAATTGTAATGAAGTATTACAAATGTGTGGCAAGGTTTCCGCTACTGGTCCATCCTTCCTGAACTTGAATCGAGTATTGCAAATTCCAAAGCACGTCTTCAATGGAGGGGCGCTTGGTTGAATCTTTGGACAGGCAATTGATGGCGAATTGAACCGTGGTTTTCATCGACTCATATGCAAAAGTGCCCCTTATTGAAGGATCTATCACACTTCTCAGCTTTGATGGTCCTTCTGCCAAGCTCTCTTCCAACTGCGTTGCCAAATATAATTCAGTGTTTAGTGTTTTATATATCGCCATTAAAGAAGTCGAAGAAAGAAACTTGTTTACCTTATGCTTAAGCGCATTCAATTCACTTGTGAATGTGGCCAGTTTACCAGTGATAACTTGTAGCAGAAGAATTCCCAGCTGATAAATGTCTTCCTTCTCACCATTCTCATCACTGCTAAGCCGATTGGAAATGGAGCTTTCTGAACCTGTCTGCAAATTTCATCAAAAAAACACATGAACAATAAGGACATATTAAATTCAGAAATCATGTGTATATTTGTTAGTGTTTACCATACCTTAAGTGGCAATGGAATGTTGTAATCACTAATCTTGGCTGTAAGAGTCTCATCCAACAGAATATTATCAATCTTTAAATCGTTTCCGTAAATTGCAGGTGAAATCCCTGTGTGCAAGAACTGGACTCCTCTTGCAGCTCCAATGGTGATTGCCATTCTCTGTGGCCATTTCAGTATTTCCTTCTTTCTCCAATCTGTCAAATCAAATCAAATGTAAATTTAACTTCTTCCTTGCAGAGTAAATTGTTTGAGGGGTGCAGCTTTACCAGTAAGATAGTCCCGCAATGTTCCATTGGAAATGTGCTCAAAAACAACGAACACTGTACTGGCAATATTGGGATGGTCCTGGTAGGTAACGATACAGTGTCCCAGAACGCTAACCAAATGCCTATGCCTTAGCTTGGACAAAACTTCAATGTGTTGCATCAGATTCTGAGGTGCATGCTTCTGGTTTAGTTTCAAACATTTTACCACCACCAATGAGCCATCTGCAAGCCAACCTTTATAGAGCTGCAAACATCAAAACCACCCCATTATTCAACTTCAATATAACCTTTATAAGCTTCATGTAATGAGATTTAACACAAATGTTTTACCTGCCCTTGAAATCCTTCCCCCATGAAATTTGATGGGTCAAAGTTGTTGGTTGCATCTTCAATTTCTTCCAAGCTGAATACACGATATCGAGGAAGCCCGATTGCAGCTGATCTCATTGTCTGAGGAACACGCCCTGCGGTGTAGCAAAGCAACCAAATTTGGTACGTTAAAAATCTTGAGTCCGTGCTTTTGAAACAAGGCATAAAATCAGATAAGTCTTACTTGAATCAATGGCCGGTTTCGGAGAGCTATGAACGGATATTTTATCTGCAATGGATCTGTCATCGTCTACATCTTCACTTCTTGATCTTTTAACAATGACCAAAATTAACAAAACAATAGCTCCTGCCATGAAAACAACACCTCCAATGATACCGAGTATTAGGCCTAAGTTGATCCCTGGCTCCTGCTCCTTCCTTTCGACCGGTTTAACAGCCACTGCTATTTTGTTGCAAAACGAATAAGGATGCTGGCGATTCGACATATCAACAGACAGACAATTCCATGAACTAACGACTGTCATGTTCCTGGAATTTGATCCAATGCATGATGGGAGTTTTCCTATTAAAAGGTTGTTTGAGATATCCAGAAAGGTGAGGTTCTTACTACAAGATGTGCTCGAAGGAAGTGCCCCGCTTAACTGGTTTTTGGCCAAATTAAGATACTGAATTGAAGCCAAGGAGAACAGAAACGATGGGATTGGTCCGAGGATTTTATTAGAAGAGATGTCCAGCTTCTGAAGCTGATTGAATTTCTTCAAACCTGAAGGGATTTTAGATCTAAAAGAATTGTTGCTTAACGTTATACTTACAAGACTCTTGCTTAATGAAGGGAATTGAGGTCCAAGGTGATTGCCACCCATATTCAGATTTTGAAGGAGTGTTAAGCCTGTAAGATCAGGAACACTCCCATTGAACAGATTGTCAGCCAAAACCAGACTGGTTAGATTCTCCATAGATGCAATCTGCTTGGGAATCTCCCCGGAGATGAAATTGGAGCTTAAGTTGAGAACTTGGAGTGAACGAAACCTGTCGATCTTGGATGGCAAGGGACCCCATAACCCCAACGACACCAAGGACAATGCTTTCAGATCAGACAACTTGGTGAGCACAGTGAATAATGAATCAATGGAAAACTTGTGGGACAAAGTCTGTCCAGCTGAAGAGCTCTTGTTTCCAACTATAATCAACTCAATAACTCGACTGTTGGAACAGACAACCTTGAGAGAAGAAGAAGGTGGAAGATAGCAGAAGTTGGTCCAACTGGTCCATCCTTGAAGAACTTGGGGGTATTCCAGAAGCCTTTTGACTTGAAAAAGAAGCCTGGTTTCACTTGGAGATAGCTGAGCTATTGAAACTGGAACAACCATGAAAATTGCAGAAAGCAATAAACAGAAACCAACCCTGGAAGTCTCCATTCTTGCCATCTATCTACTTTGTTAAAACCTTAACAAGTGGTGCAAGTGGTGCTAGAAAAACATTTCTGGGAAAAGGGAGAATCACATTAACTTCATATTTTCAGTTGCAGAATGTAAACATCCTTTTAGCTTGCCTAGCACCCCAATAAATGAAGTTTTCATCTAAAAAAGACAATTTTCTTATATGGGTTTCAGAACACTACTTATTAAAGGTTAAAAATGATCGAGTAGGAGCCACAACTTATAAAGTTGATGAAAAGCTGATGGCTGAGGAAGTGAAAAAATAAATGAAATTTTGGCTGGGAACTTGACCATGAAAATGCGATATGCTATTATTACTAGGGAATCCTGATCCTAAGATTCAAGATCCATCATATTTGAATTGCAAATGGGATTTTTCAAAGAGGCAAGTGAGAGTTAAAGTCAACTCTTGGCTCTGATTTCAAACTCACGGTAAACTCGGCATCATGTTGACCATCCATGTTACAGAAGACAATGCCCACCGGTTTGGCCGTTTCCCCTGTGTCTGAAACGCCGCTGTGTCGGTGAGAAAGTAAAAAGATTGTTAATTTGTCAAGCACGGATTTTAATGATGTATTAGTTCTACCTAATCCCTAAATGATCCTCTTCCCCTGTATTATTCTTTTTTTTAGTTCAATCATTCTCTCAATCTTTAGATAGATTTTATAGTTACCTTTAGTGTTGGTGTCATGTATAAGATCATGATTATTATTAATAAATTAACAGATTAAGTGAACCTATCAAGGATAATATCAAAAGATTGTAATTTCCCAAAATGTATGAGACTCTGGAAGACCTATATCCAAAAATATGATACTACAAAATCTGATAATGTATGAAATGAAAATATAATATGTTTCGTTAATAGTGATGATGCCGTATACCTTGCTGAAACATGGTAATTTAGTTATAAAGTATTAGGGGGAGGGTAGTTTTAGATAGCAGGAATAAGGATGCACATGGAATGCCTTGGAGAAGAAGCAATTTCTTTTAGATTAACAATAGGGACAGTAAGTCTTCACTTTTTTTATGGGATCCTATCTTCCATACAGAAGAAGATATGGTGTTTTTTTTTCATAATTAGAAACAAAATTATTCATATAATTTACTATGCTAGTGATGGTATGCCAGAAGAGAGCAAAGACTTTGTCATACAAATACAATATACTAATTGTATAGTATTGATGGCTAAGAATAATAATACTTAATAGTAGGAACAGTGGATGTGATTGAAGTTTCCTAGAGAGGAGTTCCTGTGATTGGAAAACAAAGGACCAAATTCGTTTTAATGTCTGATGATGCTATGTGGACTGGGTATTATATAGATAATTGGTTTGATGCTTAATGGATCGGACCCTATGATCCAATTATTTTCTCTGTTGTGTTATTATATTCATATTAGTAGTGATGTGCTGAGATGATTCATGCTTGTTATTGTTTATACATTCATGCATATACTTTTATCCCTTGAATTATTGTAGCGTAGTTGTGTTTCACTGAACTTATCAAGTTTAACATTCAGATGATTTTGTTCGCAGGTGATTAGATTGAATGACATCCATAGAACTTTATCATAGAAGGATTCCAACACCAAAACGTTTTTAAAATACAATACCATAATTCTTATCATGACTATGTATCTACTATCTATAGGACCTTATGTGTTTTGTTAATAATATGTAATTTCCGAGTGATACTTGGGCCGACGGTTGTGCATCATTTGCATGATGGGTCAAAACAGTCTAAACCGAACCTTCCATTGAAAAAAAAAGTTGAACTTCACTTTATTTTGAATGAGATTCCCTCCCTTTCTTTTTGCTTTGCTCATCATTATAGTTGTCCACCACTATATTTTCTGCCCTCCAACCCCCCATTTTTTTTAATCTTAATAACAAAGTTTTCAAAACCATTCTTCCTCCTCTCCTCTGCTAGTGAAAGAAAGGGTTGATTGGTTTTAATGTTTGGTCAGACAGGATTGATGTTCTTCTGCATTATATGTAAGTATGCTGCCTTACACTTTACATTGCCCACTACTGCCGTCCTCTGAAAATTTCAAATTATCATATATTTTAGTTATGAATTTCATAAAATCTTGTGTCCGTACTGACTGCATTATGTTTTCAGCTGTGTAACTTGGATTTCATGGTGCATGAATTCAAAGAAAAGAGCAAGAGCTTAATTCCACACCAAAAGCCAAAACATATCTTCACTCAAATCATATAGAGTTCCATTACATCAGAAATCAGAATAGGAAACCACAAAATAAAAACTTATTCTATACCCTCTGGCTCTGCACACCCAAAAACATCAAGGGCTTAACCCTCATTTTCTGTTTCTTTTTTTCCCCTTAATTCATCTGTTCTTTATCATATGTAGGCAACTCGCCAATGTATTACTTACACTCTAAGGATTTCATATAGTAGGTTCTGTACATGATTACAAAACAAGAACAAAAAATGGAGCTGAAAGATGCAATAAAAGACACCCGAAACCAATCGAATGAGATGAAAAACAAAAGAATTGACGCACACTAACAAGCACACACTGGTTTTAATGTGAGTATTAAGGTAGTACTCTCTAGGAAATTAGAGGGAAAAATTAATGAAACTCATGACATCTTACTGGATGTGTATGAGAAGCTAGAATGCACCAAAACATTCTAGCCAAGGTTGCTAGGTATGCAGATCATTAAAGGCCTTGTAAAATTCTAGGCCAAGATGGCTGCAATGCTTGGACTGAAAAAAAAAGGATGATAACTCAAAATGAGCTATGTTGCTCATGGGAGTAAACGATGAGAAATGTGGACTATAGACTGATATGATTGCTGTATAAGAGAAGATCATAGTTTTTTTATAGAATATGGAGGAGGGCTCGTTTGCAAGGTGGTGGCTGTGAAAGATTATTTGCCGGATTCGGAGAAGGGGATTCCATTCCGAGTGTCTTAAGTAGGAAGTTCCTTTCCTGAAAAAGAAACAAAAACTTGGTCGTCAGTATGTATTGTAGTTTGAGATAACATGTTTATATGCATGTGTATGCTTTCATGCCTGGTTTAGATTATAGAAAAGAAGAAACAATACAGGTAAAGACGATGAGCATTAACAAGATCCTAAAACATATTTTTTGAAGTAATTACTTAGAAAAACAACAACCCATACTATAACTTATGATTCAGTTTGACTTTTTTTCTTTTTATAACTATCAAGGAGCACTATGATCAAGGCTTACTTAGGCAATGACCAAGATCTTCACTTAGTGTCTTAGCAATTTTCTTAGAACTTAGGCCATTGTATATAGATGATGAGATCTACGCAATAACTCTCAGAAAATTTCGGATGTGCTTGAAGTATAAAATACTCATCTGTCAATTCAATTTTAGTGATTAGTTAATTGGTTGTTGCATCCTTTAACTGCATAAGCTCACAACTCTACTAAAGATGCCGATGGAATCATGGTATTGAGAAAGATAATAAGAGATACTACCTGCCACGGAAAATTCTATTGATGCTACCGCTCGTACTATTAAATGGATATATAGTTGGTATACTAAACAGTTAAAGATAACTTACACTTTCAGAAAATTTTGGGCTGGGAATTCCTGCTGCTAGGGATCTGAAAAGTGGATTAACTTGAACTGGGGAACTGAACTCTGCGCTCGGTGAGGTAGAAGCAACTATCATGTTTGTTTGGACATCTGAGGATGAGATTATCTCAACTGTTGAAACAAAAACACATTTCGTGAGAAACATCATTTCAACTTATTTAACCACTGTATGGTGATGAGCAAGAAATTCCTAGGTCTTTATACCAGAGATAGAACTCCATTACCATGATCAGTGTTTGCACAGGAAAGAGCCCTTTTTTCCTCCTCAGTCCCGCAACTCTGCTCTCCAGTATGATTTGAAATTATATCCGGGTGCAGTGCATCTATTTTTGATTGAGTTTTTTCTCCGGTTTCCCCAGCCGGACGAGGCAACTGTGTTGACCCTGTGCTATATTCAGAGCTGGATGGAGACACCTCATAGAGATCGGGTTGCCTACAAAATATCAATCATTGGTCAGTATTGTGTAAGGAGTCCTACTAAATCTGAGTCAACTGATTTATCTGTTACCTCCAAGATGGTTGACTTCCCTCATTACTACTCCTTAAGTCCTCTAGCAAATCTTTGAAATCTTCGATTTGAAAATCAATATCAGAGATTGTATATCTCAGGGTGTCATTTTCTTTACTTTGATTCAAAAAATCTTGGAGGACCTGAATATACATTTATTAGGATAAAGGTTAGGGACGTACGACGCATGTATTGGACTATATAAGCCCCCACAATACTTAAGATTTAGCAATATTAGGAAGCTACAGGTTGATAGTATTGGATGTTGAATTGTTGAATCAAAAACAATATAGAAACTAAAATTATCTCACCTTCCAAGCATTTTCCATACTTTGTTCTGTATTGTCTGTATTAACCTTCAATGCGAGTGAGCTGAGCAGCTCTGCTTGCTGCATCAAAGCAGTTATCCTAGGATCATCCTTTTTGAAAAATGTTCCTTGAGTTCTATAATTCTGAGCTGCGAATGAAGAACAGAGAAAAAGAATGTATGTGTTATATTATGAAGAATACAAAATAATAGAAGACATGAATATACAGTTTTGGCTAAACTGAAAAACAATTAACTAACGTAAAAATCGTCTTTGCATGTGATTTACCATCATTAGAGACCTCATTGACCTTGCTGACTTGAGATTGCACCTCCAAGTTATTTGCATTGTGGATATTTTGACCCAATACAGCAAATGGGTGTCTTAGCTGCTGATTGATTACTGTCCCAGATACCCTATGTGCTCTATCTCCAAAGTTGCAACTTTCAGCAAAATCGGGAATGTGAGATCTCCTGGAATGGAAAAATAAAAGATTTCAACTCGAGTAATAGTTTCGAAGCCTTTCTATGTCGTTACATTTGTGCATTATGTTATGGTACCTCATTCTCTTAACAGGAGCAGTACAATCAGTTGTTCCATCTGCATTGAACCCGTTTTCGAGTACAGTTCTTTTGTTATTTGGATTTATACATGAAATACTGTTCTCTTTGGCTAAGGCTTCATATTTGGCTCTCTTCTTGCACAGTGTGGAGAATCGATTTTTAACAGCGTTATCGGTTCTGCATTAACGACATGATCGGTCAAAGTTAACAATCTACAACAGAAAATGGAAAAATGATAGCAGAAAAGATACCACTTTTTTTCCACAAAAGCCATATATATGTGTATGTATATATATACCTGCCTGAAACCACCTTTGCAATTTCTGTCCATCTATTGCCAAATATTTTTTGAGCCTGCAAATCACCATAAGTCATCAGCTCAGAAGCCACATTCAAGGATCTACAGCAACACTTGTCCAAATTGAAATTAAGTCCTACTTTTGAAAGACAAGTTGTACCAGTAACATGAAATAGCCTGATACAACTGATCAATGAAAGTAACATTTTCTCCAAATATATCACCAGAAAATAAGTTCTTAAAAAAATCATTTGAAGTTTTACTTATGGGAGAGAAAAAAAAACAGTAGTTCCATTTAAACTTGAAGGAAAATGGAGGACATAAACTTTTTGATTACCTCACATAAAAGCATATCTTCCTCTGGTGACCATCCTCCTTTCTTGAAATCAGAATTCAAGTATGTGTACCATCTGCGTTTTTGACAAAGACATCATATTAGATTAACAAAAGAATAAGGTTGAATGATAAAAATGGATCAAAAAACAAAAGATCGTCAATGAACTTTTTGGAATCATCATGGTTTCACTTTCACCAACCTCCTTCTGCACTGCCTTGTGGTTTTATCCTTGAATTTAGAAGCAATGATCGCCCAACTGCACTCAAAGATTAAAAACGGAGACAAACCCCTTCAATTTCATTTCATGGTTAAAAAAATGGCACACACTTTCAAATGAATGAAACAAAAGGCTCACTTTTGAGTTCCATGTAAACTGATTTGTTCACGAAGTATATCATCTTCCTGCAACCCATCAAATCAATAAGAAATCCCCCAAAACAAAGAATCAATCAATAAACAAAACAGAGGGTCAGTAAAGAAGAAGAGAAAACCTCTTGAGTCCACGTCACGATATGACGCTCCTTCTTCTTCGAATCTTCATTGCCACCCGCTCCACCATTCTTCTTCTTCCTTGTTTCCTGCATATTTTTTATTTCACTCAAAGCTCTGTGTTTCCCAATCCTTGACGCTCCCTTCCCTTTTATTAAAACCCAAGTGGCGTATACTCAAAAAGCCAACCCTTTTACAAATCCTTTATAGAAAAAAGAATATATACTTCCACTTCCCTCTCTTTTATCTTTTTTCTATAACAACAAAACTCACTGTTGGGTTCAAACGGAATCCATAACTCTATGCTTGGTTTTCCTCCTCCTACTCCATTATTCCTCGGATGCTAATACTTAGAAAATGGGATCCCAACGTCTTCACCAGTTAAATGCAGAGTAAAAGGCTTGAGCTTTGTGATTCAAAAGTACATGTATACACGTACAATCGAAAAGGGTAGATCTAAAATGTATAAAAGATTCAAACTTTGAAGAGAAAAATAAGGAAAAATGAAAAGATCTGTCCTTATGAAATATACGTTTTTGGAAAGGAAAAAAACCTGTTGACAAATGGAAAATAGGGTTAGAATATTAATTTAAATCAACGGATTCTTGCTTTAGTGCGCGGGTATGAGGGAGAGTTTCAAAATATTAAAAGAGAAAAAGAAATCTATAATTAAATAAATATCCCCGAATCTCATGACTGTTGTTGCGTGTTCTTAATGAATACCCTGGAGACTATCCCCACTGTGCTCCTAAAGCAAAACCCTGTTTCTAATTTTTTTTATTACCATTATTATTTCATTTCATAATTTTATAATTTATCCTTCTGAATTATCAATTATGATGAATTTGAATTCATCATGTTGTTAATGGTAAACGAAAATATTGTTCTTTCTAAAATTTCGAATTCGAATAATTACGCCTATAAAATATGTATGTGTTGTCAATTAATTAAAAACGCTCTGAATATATACGATCTTATAATCTTCACAAACTATTAAAAAAATATGATGATTTCAGAGTACATGCATGAATCTTCATCTTCTTCGCATCACAGCTCTTTTCTTTTTTTTACCTTTTTATTATATTTTCCATATAAGTTCATTCATTTTCTTATTTTAGAGGGTGAATTTTAGTTTTCAAATTTGAAAACGATTGTCAGGCGCAGGGCATTCACGTGAAGGAAACGCGTGCGTTTATTGGATTTAATGCCGACGTGTCGGTCAACGTTGCAGGTCTTCATTGGGTAGTGTAGTCCACGTGAATTCTCTGCGATATTGCCAATTTTATGACACAATTAGTTTGTTGTTGTTGTGGTTGTTGTGTTGTGTGTAGAGAACGAGTTGAAGATGGCATTTTGTTAGTTAGGGTCTGTTTGTTGACTTTGATTGATTTTTTGAAAAATAAATTATTAGAAAATAAATTACTGGAATTTGAATTTTCGAAAATGAATTACATTTCTGGAAAACGTTTTTCGGAAAATATTTTTCATAAAATAAATTACATTTTTCTGAAAAAAACATCTGGAAAACGTTTTATGATGTTTGGAAGATGTTATTTAAACATTTTTTCCACTAGTTGATGAGTTTTTTTTAAATATTTATTACAAATATTAAATACAATAAATAATATTATTTATAATAAAACTTAATATTATTATTTTAAAATATTAAAATAATTTATTTATTATTAAATATTATTTTTATAATTTTATTAATAAAAATATTAATTTTGGTATATTTTAGTGAAATAAAAATATTATAAATTATATTAATTATTTATTAAAGTAATAGTGTTATATTATATTTTAAAAATATTAATTAGTATATTTTAAATATCTTTATTAAAATATTATTATATTAATATTAAATATAGAAATAATACTATTCATTATTAAATATATAAAAAAATTTATTATATATTTATTAAAATAAAAATATAATATCTTATATTATTATAATATAATTGATTATTTTATTATAATATTATAAATATAATATATTATATTATTATAAATATTAATAAATATATTTTAAATATTAATATTTTGATGAAAATGATATTAAAATATTTTATTAATATTAAATTCATAAAATAAAATTATTTTGAGTATTTATTCTTTGAAATGAAAAGTTCGGAAAATGACTTACGGAAAATCAGACCGTAAGCAATTTTCCAGAAAACACAAAGGAAATTATGTTGACCATGAAAATGAATTACGTTGATCAACCAGTTTTTCTCCAACCAAACACTGGAAAACATTTTCCGGAAAATGAATTACGTTGACCAACCAGTTTTCCTCCAACCAAACACTGAAAAACATTTTCCGGAAAACGAATTACGTGAAATAAACACGGGAAAACATTTTTCGTAAAAACAAATTACTTGAAACAAACAAGGAAAAATATTTTCCGAAAAACGAATTATACGAAACAAACACGGGATTTCGGGGAAAACCAGTTTCGTAATTCATTTTACAGCAAACAAACATACCCTTAGTTTGATCATGTGAAGCATATAAATTCCATTTAGATGTTAGAGGGAAAATCCAAAATGAAAATCAAAACTAGGAAACTTCTCTTGCTCCTTATTGTTTTGGATATTGAGAAATTACACAAAATAAATACAAAAATCTTTCGTCTATACTCAAGAAAATGACAATATAAATTCCAAATGGAATATTTTTACCTTAAACAAACTAAAATTAATTAATGGAGGTATAATATATATATTGTTGGTAAAATAATAATGTAAAGAAGTTGCTTGAATGTAATAATGGTGAAAGATTTATATATTAATGTTTAACTTTATTTATATTGAATAAAAAAGTTTACATATGCGTGCCTCACTGTTGAGCGTTCGATCTGTGTTTGTGTAAATGTGTATTTGCGATACGTCTACACGCTTATCTTTTTGAGGGCCAATCACATTATTTTTTTTTCTCAATTAAATATTACAATTAATTTTATTCTTGATTTATCTGACCAATGATATTTTATTTGAATTTTAAAATTCAAAATTCCTGCAAATATGAGCCATAGAAGGAGGTCCTCTCCTTCAATTTTAATCACTCACTCCCTCTCTTCCTTTTCTGCGATCCTTCACACGCATTTTCTTTTTTGTGCAACGGCTTTTGGCGTCTCTTTTTTCGACCATGTTTACTCCAATTAAAATTCTCACTTTCCTTCATTTTAAGAAAAGACCAATACTATTAAGAGATCTAATTTTTTATTTTAAGCGTACGAAATTTAAAAGACTATGTTAATTTTAGGGGCAACATCTAATTTTAGTGATTACACAACACAATAAAATTTATTCTATCTTTATTCATTCATTTGTTCTAGTCAGCACTAATATCTCGTTTTACAATAAATTATTTTTCTTAACATATATATCATACCTTCATTTAACAACCACTGAAAATGACATTATAACTTAAAATTATCCGTGAAAATAGTTAAATGTATATGGATGATAGATGTTACTTGAGAGGAAGCTACAACAATACCTTAATGTATATGTATTTGATTTGTATAGGTGTATACATATCAGCTATATTTGTTCGACGTGTACTAGAAAAATATGACTTCCACTTCCAAGCTCATAATGCATGAACACACAAAGTCTTTCTCCATGAAGTGACCCAAACCTAACTATACCCAATCCTATTCCTTAAATTTGAACTTTATGAAACTGATTAAGTTGAAATATTGTAACAATAAACCGTGTGGGTCTTACCATAGCCGGCCAATCTCTTCTTCTTATTATAAAAATCCAAAAAAAAACACACACTTTTTTAGGCCGTGTTCATATTTTATTAATACGATAATATATTATCTCTCTCAAATAAGATCTTGAGTTTGGATTTTGATGTTATGAATGAAACAAATTGGATTAGAAGGATCTTTTACATAATAAGTTTCTTATGTATCTGATCTAGATTAGTCGATCAATTGATTGAATAAACAAAAAAAAAAACTCTAAGTATAAAATTTGGGTAAAGTATACAAATGTCATCCAACTATAGTGTACTGCTTTGTTGAGTTCATTGACTATTAAAAACCACAAAATAATCACCTGACTATTTATACGTTCCAAACTCGTCCTTTTTCGTTAAAAAATTGACAATCTTCTGAGCTGAACTTTAATTTACTGACTCAACAAAACAACGCTCTATAGTCATGGGACCAATTTTTTTTATCATATCACAGTCAACAAGTTAACGTACAACTCAGAAGGTCGCCCATTTTTTATGAAAAATTATGAGTTTGGAACATAAAAATAGTCAGGTTATCATTTTGTAACTTTTAATAGTTAGGGGACTCAAAATAGTAGAGTCTGGAGGATCATTTTGTAACTTTTAATAGTTAGGGGACTCAACAAAGCAACGCCATATTGTCGGAGGATCATTTTATAATTTTTAATAGTTAAAGGACTTAACAAAGCATCGTCTTATAGTTGAGGGATCATTTGTGTACTTTACCCATAAAATTTACATATATTTCTATGATAATGTTAATGTGTAATATACTGAACCTAGGTCACCTTGTTGGAGTTCAAAGCCTATTGAAACCCTATATGCTAACAATAACTACTACTAGTCTACTGCTGCTCTTGTATTATCTACTTTTTACCTGTTAACCTTGTCATGGATATTCACTTATACCTCAATTAAATGATTTTATATGCTTACTTATTGATGGCACGTGGACATGGGAATTGCATGACATGTGGATCGAGCCATCTTATCTAACTTCAAACTTTTAAAATCATCGATGTAGTGGTGGGAGCCAACACTAGTCGAAGACAAAAACACTTGCAAATTGCGATTTGCGATTTGCATGTCTCTTTCTTGATGGCGAAATCTCCCGCCAAAAATGATGTATCGGTTCAAGCAAGACAGACCCTCTCACGTCGGTTCATGTTTTATCTTATATATATGGACGATTCTAAGCAGAAAGATAACATATAAGATACCATATTTCAAATTCATATTCATCATGTTATAAAGTATTTAGATATATATATATATAGTTGAACATAATCGTTGTCAATTTTATAGCTCATAAAATCTACTATGTGATGATCAACTTTGCTGATTACAAATAACAATCATCACCCTAAGTCTTACACGAGCACTAAAGGCCCATATATAAATTATTATGCAAAGTTGAAGGAGGCTCTCCCTGAATCTAAATATAAGACTATTGTTTATTATCTTATTTAATCGGTTCATTTTTTCTTTTGACGTTTATAGAACCATCATTTGTGATTCTCCGCTCAAATCAAAAGGGATAAATTACCCACATCCTGTCGTAACCTAT